TAATGTAGTTGTTTTTGATGAGGATAACCTTAATGTAGTTGTTTTTGATGAGGATAACCTTAATGTAGTTGTTTTTGATGAGGATAACCTTAATGTAGTTGTTTTTGATGAGGATAACCTTAATGTAGTTGTTTTTGATGAGGATAACCTTAATGTAGATGTTTTTGATGAGGATAACCTTAATGTAGTTGTTTTTGATGAGGATAACCTTAATGTAGTTGTTTTTGATGAGGATAACCTTAATGTAGATGTTTTTGATAAGGATAACCTTAATGTAGATGTTTTTACCTGAGATGATCTTAATGTAGAAGACAATATCAATGATGGAAATAGCTAACTAACATTAACCCTACCATAGTAAATCCAGTCAGTGACAGGAGCCACAGAGATACCACACTTGAAGATGTTTGTTCCTCGGCTGAGAGCACTGGCAGTTAGGTAGCCACCATATGACTGAAATGTATATAATCAGGTAGATAGCCTTTACTGGGTGATAAAACACACATAAATACTTCTTGCTGTTAGTTTCAAGGTTCATACCATTTCTGTATTTGTATTGTTGTTGTTGGTGAAATCAGATTGGCTGGGTGTCTTTGTTATCTGCTTGCTGTGTAAAAAAAATCTGAAAGTGTCAAATGATCTGAAAGTGTGTAAGTGTGTCAAAATGATCTGAAAGTGTGTCAAATGATATGAAAGTGTGTCATGAAAGTGCCTCAAATGATCTGAAAGTGCATCAAATGATCTGAGAGTGCAAAATGATCTGAAAGTGTGTAGAATGATCTGAAAGTGCATCAAATGATGTGAAAGTGCATCAAATAATCTGAAAGTGCATCAAATGATGTGAGAGTGCATCAAATGATTGGAAAGTGTGTCAAATGATCTGAAAGTGCATCAAATTATCTGACAGTGTGTCAAATGATCTGAAAGTGTGTCAAATGATCTGAAAGTGTGTCAAATGATCAGAAAGTATATTAGATTATCTGAAAGTGTGTCAGATGATCCAAAAGTGTGTCAAATGATCTGCAAGTGTGTCAGGTGATCTGAAAGTGTGTCAGATGATCCAAAAGTGTGTCAAATGATCTGAAAGTCAGCTACCCTGCTGTGTCTTAAAGTGCATGTGTTGCACCACCTTTATGCATCTAATTAATAGCACAGAACCCCATGTGAGTGCTGGGGTCCCATTGTAGGGAAAACATGAACAGACCCACTGCAAGCATGTCCTAAGAGTTGACTAACTGGGGGATTTCTTCAAAGTCGAAGTGCATCTGCCTGAGAGGCCAGGAACCAGCAGTCTGCATGTAAGTTGGTAAGATCTATAAAACGGATGCACATGCAAAACTCAGGTCCTGGAACAAAGCCAAGTTCAGAAATGGACGAACAACCAGATCTATCCACCAGGGTTTACAGCCGGTGAATGCAAACAAACAACAGTAGCACAGATAACGTCTCCTACACTAGTTCTCCATTATAATTATCTACTTCTGAATAAAGGCAGCAGGTGGGTGTTTATAAGGCAGTTATTTGGTACATCTGTGGTGCAGACACTCATTAATCTTTCAGTACTAGAAGGTTTAGCCAAATAGGTCAAGTTATGAAGAATGCTGAAAAATTGCGATTTAATAACATTCCAAATGGCAACATACATAGTGGTAGTGACCTTTGGAGAAGCGAGATATCTTTAGTATGTTCTGACTAAATATAAAAGGCGAGAGAGCACATCATAATATGGCGTGAAATCAAGTGGCATCGAGTGATACACACACACACCAGGCTTGTTTGGGGCTGAAATAGTTAACTGGGGTAAGTCAGAAGAATTAAGCATATAAGTTTACCACCACCATCTAGACTAATGGGATCTGAACAGTGCAATGGACATGCATGTGAGTTCAGACTTTTCTCAGGTTTGTGGTTTAGCAAGCTAAAACCATTGTTCGATGGTGACAATTTTTCCAGTCAAGACAACCCAAAGACGGGCAAGGAGAACATGAACAGGCAAGCATGCTGGCACTTGCAGGAAGCAACTGAAATGTGAGAGATTCAGCTTCCAGTATGTTCACGTTCTCTATTGGAACTGTGCTTCGTCCAATCAGCACCGACCCATTTTCAAAAAGATCTTCTATGAAGATTGGCACAGCAAAAAATGAAATGCAAATCAGGCACATCAAAAGACTTGTTAATCAACATAGAACTAGTACTATTAGCCAATGAGCACTGAGGGGAGGTTCCGAGCCTATGGACATGTCCGAAGTGCAATGACGATAACTTAACTAACTAACTGACTAACGAACAAACTAACTAGCTAACCAACTAACTAACTAGCTAACTAACTAACTAACTAGCTAACTAACTAACTGACTAACTAACTAACTAACAAGCTAACTAACAAACTAACTAACTGACTGACTGACTGACTGACTGACTGACTGACTAACTAGACTAAATGGCTGATCTATACAAATTTTGTTCTTTCTAGATCCTGGTTTGCCTTTTAGCATCAGGTTCTGAAGAGGCATCCGGTGTGAATATTCGTGCTGTGTAGATACTAGTCGCTAAAGCCTTAGATATTCCATCCACCCATTGCTTGCATGGATAACCTTTATCTCTGCTTCCGTTGTGTTCAGGTCAATACCAATTTTGCTTGCGTATCAAAAGCTTCTGATATTATTCTAGCAGGGATGCGTCCACATGAGCTACGACTCCCAAACATCTTTGTCCTCTTTGAGTTCTATACCCTTAAACACTCAGTGTATTTCACCCATGCAAATCACTTGAAACCTTTGATATGTCGAGCCACTTTTGTGTGGATTCCCCTAATTTGAATCCTGTCTCTTAGATTCAAGAGTAACAGTTCTCATTAATTTTGAAAAGAAAATTTGTACTCACCCATCCCCATATAGCCATGTTTCCTTCATCAACATAATGCAATTTGCCAAACTGCCTATAAAAAAAAAACACAAATATAACAATTAACAACTCTGTTGTAGTTAACATAAAAAATAATTTCTTAGATATCACGTTTAAATTGAATATCACAAGGATACAGAGTTCAAAAACTGATAATCTTGGGATACTGGTAAACATGACTGATACAAATAATCTCTTCATTTCAATGTGGCTGTCTTCTTCTTAGCAATCATCGACTTTAAACTCTGATTAAAAATTCTTTTCGTTTGCCTACTTCTGGACTTTAGTCTTGTTCTAGAACTTTTGTGTTTTTATAATTTTTTAGTTTTGTGTTTTACAGATCTATCTTACTTATTGGTTCTTTGCTTCTCAGGCAGATGCATTTCAATTGTAAAGGGAAAACCTCTAATTAGACACATTTTATGACATGCTTGTTTGGTAGGGAGTGGATCTATTCTTCCCATCACAACAGTGTCACAGGGGAAATGTGACTGTGAGAGACTGACTTAAATATTTGAAATCTTATGGTCAGACTTGATTTAAATGATAATATATTGAATATAAGTATCTTCTTCTTTTGCTTCGTTCACCAACTGTAAGGTCTGGCGTAAAGTCTTCGTTGTTTGTCCATTTGGACTGTGATTTTGTGCTAGGGCCTGAGTTTTGTGTGTACATCCATTTTACTGGCTTATTTATGTGCAGTTGGTTGTTCTTTGCCGCTCTGGCAGATGCGACTCCAAAGGAAGCCCCCAATAAGTCAACTCTTACGACATGCTTGTTGGGGAGGTAGTGGGTCTATTCTTGTTTTTCCCAGCAAAGCAGCCTTGGACCCACCAGGGGGAGCATAAATATCTAAAGGTTGCAAGTAATTTTCAGAATGTCAAGAAATTTCAAAGCAAAGGTTGCAAGTAATTTTCAGAATGTCAAGTAATTTTAAAGCAAACGTAGCAGGTAATTTTCAAAATGTCAAGTAATTTCAAAGCAAAGGTAGCAAGTAATTTTCAGAATGTCAAGTAATTTTAAAGCAAAGGTAGCAAGTAATTTTCAGAATGTCAAGTAATTTCAAAGCAAAGGTAGCAAGTAATTTTCAGAATGTCTCATTTCAAAGCAAAAGTAGCAAGTAATTTTCAGAATGTCAAGTAATTTCAAAGCAAAGGTAGCAAGTAATTTTCAGAATGTCAAGTAATTTCAAAGCAAAGACAGCAAGTAATTTTCAGAATGTCAAGTAATTTCAAAGCAAAGACAGAGGCCTTAAAACTGCATAAAAATGTTAATGTTACAAATATTTTAAAATAGGCCACTATCATCACAAGAAGTCTTTTTAGCCTAAAAGTAGAAATATTTGAACTTTGTCAAAAAAGCATAAGCAGTACAATGTAATCTATCACACTTTCAACATTCATAGTAATGAAGTGGCAGAATATTGGCAAAGGAAGTTGGAGGAACAACTCAGTCAGATGGTTTATAAGAAGCACTTGGATTAAAAAAGAAAACAGAGCTTGCAAGCTGCCAGAAATATGACCCATATTACTAACTTCTCCGAAGTGAACTAGTGTGATAATCTTTAGACTTCAGACAGAATACAGGCTGAAATGTTACCTCTTCAATAAACTACAAACAGGAGAAAAATGTAACTATGGAACTGGTAAAATTATGCCTAAAAATGTCTGGCAAACATCCAACACAAGCAGAGCTGAATAAAAATGATATAAGCATTGTGAACATGCTAGTAGTAGTAGTATATTTTACCCCACTAGGACATCACACAAGTGATAAACACCTGATGACACAAAGTGCCATCATGTGGATAAGGATCACCTGTGGAAAGGTCCTGGAAACCGCATTCAATCATTAGACCATATTTATGGCCGGGCTATATTGCGGCCCCTGGTAAGAGCCAGGTTGGGGCTTCAAAATAACGAAAAATGGCATCCCACAAGGGGATAACTAATACATAATAATTGTGAACATATTAGTTATTTATGTAGAAATATGATGTTAATGTAAACAAATACACTAGAAATAAATGTTGAAACATATCATATACACTTTGTCATAAAATATAAAAGAAACACACAAGTGCAAGAAATACTTACTCTGCAGCCTTAAGTGAGTCATCCACTTCTAATGTTCCAAGGTTTTTATAAATGGAATGCAAAAACTTGTCTCCTCTTCCACTGGACCCTCTTCCATCAACAAATGCGTAAATAACTTCCCTGGAGCTAGTCATGTACGTGTGCCAATCAATGGCATACTTTTCCGTGACCATTTGTGTCCCAGGACCACCATACCTGGCAAGTAAACACACAGATGTTAGTGTGCACACAGAACTAATAATATCAGATAACTAATTATTTTCACTAAGTACTAACTGTCTTAGTTGTAGTATTAGTCAAGATTTCAACTTCACTGCAACTGGGTTTCCCCATTCTTGCTCTATTCCTGTGCCAGTGTAAATCAGTTGAAATGTCCCTCACTACCTCATTTGAAAAACTGGTGAACAAACAATTAGTCTTGGAACAATCCAGAAATATATGCATGCAGTAAAAGCAAATTTAAGTTGCTAGAGGCGACGAAGCCAACAGTTGCTATCAGAAATGCAGTTTGTTGTTAACAGTACACAGAGTTAATCATATACCTATAGCTAATAGTCCAGAGTTAATCATACACCTATAGCTAATAGTCTAGAGTTAATCATATACCTATAGCTAATAGTCTAGAGTTAATCATATACCTATAGCTAATAGTCCAGAGTTAATCATATACCTATAGCTAATAGTCCAGAGTTAATCATATACCTACAGCTAATAGTCTAAAGTTAACCATATACCTATAGCTAATAGTCCAGAGTTAATCATACACCCCAGAGTAGCATGGTGATATCAGTCACAGGCATGAGGGAAAGTTAAGGCTGTTTGGGATGTGTATAAGGAGATACTTGATACCTCACCGAAGCTGCCAGCAGGCTCTCTTCTGGTTTGACAGACCCTCACATAAGACTCCTGCCACACGTCCTCATCGTGCACTATGGATAATGGTTCTTATAGGCCTAAACTGAGCTGGCAGAGGTCTCAGAGTTGGTGGCTCCCAGAGATGCAGTGGCCAGAAATCCTCTGGCTCTCATCAGCCCACCCCTGATGCATTGGTGATAAAGTTCATCAAAAAACTCTTTTGAAGCACAAGTGAAGCCCAGTGGCCGAACATCCTACTAAATGAAAAAAAAAAAACCTTGCTTCAAACATCTGTTGATCAAAAGTCCTATTAAACTGCTGACTAGGCTCAAATGTATATCATTGAAATGTCCTACGGCATAACAGCAAAGTTTTAGATGACCGACCATCGATAGTCTTACTGACAAGCAAGATTCAGAAGTATGACAGTCAAATGTTCTACTGTGTGACTAATAGTTGTTTTTTTTTAAATTTAAATATCCAGAAACCAGGAGTTCTTAACCATTTGGCTTGGCAACCCTCCGGCCTTGATTCCATGATAAATACTGTAAATATGGAAGAATGGTGGCTTTTCTGCCTACCTCAGGCGTGAACCCCGACCACAAGGAGTCCGTCACCTGGTCACCGTGAAGTCAGGTTTAGCCAACTATGATAGAGAGTTTTGTAACTGATAAGATTCAAATGTCTGCTTCCATTGACCTCACTCATCTGAGTATTGGGACCAAGTCTGACAATCAAATGTCCTATTGTTTGACTGACAAGGTTGACTTGTCTGACCAAAAACTGTTCTACTGCTTAACAGAAAGATTCAGTTGACCGCTACCACTGGTTCCCACTTGCCAGAGTGGCAGGACCAAACTGGGAAGCCATGCCTGATTAAAAATGCAAGAAAATATTAACTTACACATGAAGTACAAGTGGGTAGGTCAAAATCTCTTCAACTTTTAGCACAGGCGGCAGCAGCATTTTCGCCCACAACTCTGTAGACAGACAAGGTTTCATCATCATTAAATAGATCAGATCTCAGTTTTACCAAAACACCTGGTCACAAATAGACAGACAATTGGTATCACAATTTTGCAAACTGGTTTGAAGAAACTGGATAAGCTAAAATGATAAACACCCCCACCCTTCACATGGCCTCCACAACTGCATAAACAGATCAGGTCAGTTTTATAGGAAGTCTTGGCGACGACAGATACATCAGCAATTCAACTCATGCACCCCCTAAGATAATCACAACAGCATACAAAATAAAGCCAAGTTTGTTTGAAAAAAAAAAACCACACCTCATCGCAACTCGATAAACATGACAATAAAATCCTATATGGTTTCATAATTTCAATATTAATCACTGGAAAAATGTCTAAGCTTTAGAAAAACTGTGAAATGAATGGCCAGGTTTTGATCAACCACACTCCATATGTGGGCTCTGGGGCCCCATTGTGGGGTAAACAAGAAGAGACCCACTGCCTCACCCCCCCCCCCCCCCCCCTCCAAAGCAGGTCATCTGAGTTGACCAACTACAGGCTTCCTTTGAAGATGGTGTCATCGGCTTGAGAAGCAAGAAGCCAACAAGTCTGCATACTAATGAGCCAGATCTGTAAAATGGATATGCATGCAGCACTTAGGTTCAGAAACAAGATTACAGTCTAGAAGTGGATAAAAAACTAGGACAAACAACTAGAACTTTCCCCCAGAGCTTACAGCCGTTAACCATGAAGAAGAAAAAGAAGATTAGCCACAGAAAAGACAAAGTACATATACAAAAGGACAGAAACAACAGAAGCACTGAAAGCCAAGTATTGGGATTAGAATTCGCCACCTATACACAATGGCAGGTCTTACTAAAGAACAAGTGTACTTTGCATTTTTTTCATAATGCTGTTGTAATTAATTTATTTTTTAAATTAAGTGACTTTGTGTATTCTTGTTCAAATTTAAGGTATTTTAGATTTATGTAATGAGTTGAGTGAGTCAAGAATTGACATCACAGCACTAGGGGAATTCTCATGCATGCTCCATCCTCATCTTCAGCAGCCAGCACAGAGTTCCAATACTGATGGTACTGGTCACAATCTGGTTATATGTCCGTCTTGCCTTTCCTCTGAGTGTAGTGAGCCAGCCAGGCCCTCTGGTTACACCTAGGTGTCTCATTTTCCTCAAGCCATAATAATCTTTTTTTTTTCCAATGTGATGTGATGATGAGGTCTCTCTAGCTGCAGTGTTCACATGTCATTTGTGTTTGTTATAATGTAAAGTTGACTTGTTCTACTTTTTTGTTTGCTTGATATCTTCTTCTTCTTCTTCGCGTTCACCAGCTGTAAACTCTGGTGTAAAGTTCTGGTTTTTCGTCCACTTCTGGACTGCAGTCCTGTTCCAGAACCTGAGTGTTGCGTGTGCATCAGTTTTACAGATCTGATTCAATTGAATGCAGACTGCTGGTTCCTTGCCTCTCAGGCAGATGCACTCCGACTTCAAAGGAAGCTCCCCAGTTAGTCGACTCTTACGACATGCTTTTGGGGAGGCAGTGGGTCTATTCTTGTTTCCCCCACAATGGGGCCCCGGAACCCACACGGGGGGTTTGCTTGATATCTTTTCACAAGCTACAGAACACTTGTCTTAGAACATTATCTACTGATCACTTAAATTATATGTCTTCTATAAGTTTTATGAGCTGATGACTTTTTTTTTTTTTTTTTTTTACAAAGTGAATGGGAGTTTTCTACATGTGCCCAGTCTCAGCATACATTCTATAATTCACTGTCTTGAATGAATCAAGAACTTATGCCCCTGCCTTTGGGACATATCCACAGGTGCTCAGTCTCCTACAAAGAGTTTCCATGCTAACAGGGGCAGTTGCAACCTCATACCAATGTAACGCATTCTCCACCAAGTGATACTCTGAGGTGTGATTTGTAAGATCAGATGAACTCAGTGCTTTTCCTGAACTCAGTTCTTTTCCACTGTGTGGCTTCTGTCAATCAATTAGGTGCCATCTTCACAATAAAGGTTGGATCTTCAGCCCACTCTGTTTCTGGTCTTGGTTGTTTATCAGACTGCTGTTCATCCACCTCTTGATGCACTCAGATGTGAGATATAATGTATAAGATGGTATACTCAATTCAGAAATGGCGCCTGGGTTGTCACGCTTGAGGAGATTTTCAGGAGACGAATCCTGCTGCTGGCAATGCAGAGGTCCACATGCTTATCAATGGCAATTCAGATGAGGCAGACATGCTGATCAACATATAGGCCTGTTCTACAAAGACACAAATAAGCAGGGACATCCACAGCACACTTTACAGGCAGAATAGTCCAGGAATGTGGCAGCACCCTTTCCATGACTACCATAAGGAGGTGATGGTGGTGATCTGAGATTTTATGTTGCTGGAATCCTATAGCTATTCCCACGCGTGTGTGTGTGCTGAGTGATTCTATAAACATGATCCAGTGGGTCAAGGCAGATTCTGTACATAAACAGTGAATTGAGTCATTGCTAAACTGCACTGTGTGTGGAGTCACCTTCATCTTTCTCCCATGAAACACAGATGTTACTGGCCATGAAAGAACTGACAGATTGGCTGTTTTTGCCTTAGTTGCACGCGTGATATGGATTGCCCCAAAATTATTACTGAGATTATTTAGAGATAGAGGGTTTTGAGGTGCTGCGCATCCATACCACTGCTTAGAATACACAAATTGGGATTAGAGACTGGTGCCATCAGACATGGGAGGCATACTGGACATATGAGAAGTCTTGTCAACGAGCAAAGGACTGGCTCCCACTAACTGCGTGACTCTGACCTATTTGTTGGAGGAGGAATCTGAGCACCTACTGGTTTACTCAACTCTAAGATGTAATTTCTGTAAACTTCACTAAACGACTACTATCTGTCTAACAAAGACTACTAACTTTCTCCATTAAGCAGTGAAATCTGCTCATACTTGATCCACGGCAAAGCTTTCTTTGCAATTTTCTCTGCAAACGCACTGTTGTTTTCTAACCTCTCCACTGCAGAAACAAACAAAAATGTTAACATCTGTGATTATAATTTTCACTTTAAAAAAAAACATATGTAAGAATGCACGCACGCAGACACACAAACACATACACGTGTGCACATAGGCAAGTGCCAGAATGATTTCATTTTTACTGGACAATTTTCTCAACAATCTGTGACTTGCCCCTAGTCAATGTCACTCAACTGTCTCTGTACTGTGTTAGCACTGTAAAGACTGTGTTTCCAAAGCCTTAAAGTGTACCAGGTTTTTTCCCTGGTGGTAAGAAAGAAAAAACCCTATTGCTATTACCATATTTGTATACAAAAAATGTGATGGATGATCTGGTTAATGGCATGTGATGGGCGATGTTTGACGGGTGATTTGCTTAATGGAAACTGATGAGTGATTTGGATGATGGAACTTAATGGGTGGTTTGGTTTTTCCAAGCCCAGCTCTTTGGGAAAGAGGTAGTAGTAGTAGTACATTTTACCCCACTAGGACGTCACACAAGCAATAAACACCCGATGACACAAAGAGCCACCATGTGGATAAGAATCACCCATGGAGAGGTCCCAGAAACTGCGTTCAGCCATTAGACCATATCTATAGCCGGGCAATATTGCAGCCCCTGGCAAGAGCCAGGGTGGGGCTTCAAAATAATGAAAAATTGCATCCCACAAGGGGATGACTAGTATTAAAGAGGGAGTCAAACTAGCAAGTGACTAGGACTGAAAGAGTTTAAAAAAAAAATGATAACATGAAAATACACACTATCTTATCAACAATGCTAAAACAATTAAACAGTAACATTGGACATAACTGTTTTCAGCGTTAGTGTAATAGATACAGTGTGGTGAGTACTGGTATCATTTTTTAATATAAACATTGTGGGGAGTACCGGCACCTTTTGTTCTAGAAACAAAAAACCCCTTGATAACACAGTAAATAATCTGGCTGGCCTGACTTACCCTCTATTCCATCTTTGGTCATCAGTGAATAAACCGGTATCCCTGGGCCCAGGCATTCAAGGACATAGAAGTCACCGGTTGTTGCCATGGTGACTTGAGTGTACTGACATTTTTCATGGAAGTTGCAGGTTTCACACTTTAAATCATTGCCATGAGTAGAAACACTGAGGAGAAAAGAGTTGTGGGTAGTCGAAAGCTACAGTAATAATAAAGGAAATAGAGGAATCCGAGACATATATGAGCCAGACAACTGAAGCTACTATAAATAGATCTGAATTTTGAGTTGAGAATCAATATCATGGCATTCAGGACATTTTCATAAGTGCTCTGTCCCCATCTTCAGAAGCAAGAACAGAGTTCCAGATCTAACAGCGCCAGTAACAGTTTGACTGTGTATCCATCTTGCCTTTTTTTTACCTTGAGTTTTGAGGGTCAGCTAGATTACCTGGCCACTCCTCGCAGCACCATTCCTCTTCAGACCACACATGTGTGTGTTTGTATGTACGTATGTATCTGTGTATGTATGAGCATATAAGAGTATATGTGCGTGTGTATTTTTTAGAGAATATAATTGTGTATATATGATGTGTATATTCATTATTTCATTCTGTATATTTTGTTTCAAAAAATAACATGCATTACTAATCAAATGCAACTGTGGTCTGAAAGATAAGTTTTTGGAAGGGCCTAATGTAAGACGGGCCTGCGTGCCCACTTTTTAAGCCTCTGAAAATAAAGTTGCTTGTTTATTGGTTCATGATGTAGCAGGTCCTTTACAGAACATCGCTCTAATCATGGTCTGAAAGAAACTCTGTCTCTCACCAGTTCTCCTGCCTCACACACTTTCATTTCCAAGGAGTCACTTGTATCCTGTGCCCATCTTCATGTCGGTTGGTCATTACCTCTCCTTCCTCATACGATGCCTTCAGCTATTATTATCTGCTGTGGCGCTTGATATGACCGGAGTATTGATGTTCAGATCTTTTAGAATGTCAGTTTTAATTTTCTTCTTTGTCCGTGGTATTCTCAAAAGCCCTGTTTTCTTCCTTAAAGACTGGGAGATAGTTCACAATCCACATCTATTTGTTGCTACAGGGAAGATGCATGCTCTGAAAATTGTATCCTTTGATTTCCTTGCTGGTGCTTAACTATAGACTTTTAATGCTGTTTAACCTTTATATTGCTATGGCAATCTTTCTGTTGACTTCTTTTGAACGGTCTCCATGGCTGTTTATTATGGAGCCCAGATATTCAAAGTTTGTGACATTGTCAATTTATTCATCATTTACTGTTATTTTTAGGTGACAGCCAGTTTTATGTGTGGACATTATTTTTGTTTTCTTTAAATTCAAAAACACCATTCTATCTTCACTGTGTTTTGTGTGTGGAAAGACATAATAAAATGTTCTATTCACAGAAAGCCGTGACGTGAAAACATGACGGGTTCAACACATTATGTCATGTTTTGTTCAAGACACCAGAAAAGTATGACATACAAATTTTCCAGGGCATCAAAATATATTTTGACAAGTAGTTCAGGCTGTCAGAATGTCTAGATATGATAACACAAATCTTACAGTACAACTCACCTGTACATATGCATTCTCCGAGGGTCATTCTGGGGGCTCATGAAAAAGCTGGACCAAAAATAAGAAGAAAATAAAATAAAATTGCAAACATGTATAACATCATGTAGGCAGATAAAGCAAGCCAAGACATTCATATAAATGTATGTAGAAAAGAAATAAGGATGAGCCTATTTCACAATAAAGGTTGACTACAGTGTACCACTGATGTACATGGGAATATTATGTGATAAGGCCCCACTCTTTTCCCCTGTGTAGCTCCTGTCAATCAATCAGGTGCCATCTCCACAATAAAGGTTGACTACAGTGTACCCCTGATGTACATGGGAATATTACGTGATAAGGCCCCACTCTATTCCACTGTGTGGCTCCTATCAATCAATTAGGTGCCATCTCCACAACAAAGGTATGATCTCCAGCATGTTCCACCTCTCATCTCTATTGTCCAGTATTTGCATCTTTAAAATGTTCAAAGATTCGCCATAAAACTATTTTCAAAATTTTATAATAAGGCTTATTCTCTTTTAAATGTGCTCCAGGAATTAGTCTTAAGGGTGTTTCATATATTCTGATCTTGGTGTTACGAGAGAGAGCCTCTGATTTTAGCAGATGGTGTAAAACATCGTGTACTCTATTTCGAGATTACATTCTAGATTGTATTTCTTCTCTCAGCATGTTGGTGCAGTTGAAGTTGGTACCCAAGTACTTGCATGCTTCTGTTGATTTGATTTTCACATTAGAAAAAGATCTTCTTCTTCACTTCCTCTTTTTTTTACCACTTAGGATGTTGAGGGGGATCCAAAGCTCTGCCTCTTTCTCTTGGGGCTGCCTGGACCATAGACAAATCATGCTGTTGTAGATTTTCTCTGATGTTATCTTTCCATCTTGCTCTACTCCTTTAGTTTATGCCTTGTATGGGATGGCATCACAAGGCATTCTCGCTAAGTGGGCAAATCATTTGATTTGCTGTCTTTGTATGTAATTTAGAATTGGTTCTGTGCCGACTTTTTCTCTTATGACCTAATTTCTGGTTTTCTCTTTTCTGGCTACTCCTGCAGGCCTTCTCAGACATCTCGTTTCCACGGTTACTAATTTAAAATAGGTACTTGGAAATTAATTTTATGGGAGGTAAAGGCAGCTGGGATGAAAGTCATCTTATTAATCATTGAGAGGTGATTGACAAAATAAAAATATATTTGGTTATCACCATTTATGCCTTATGCACCTAGAAAAAAAACACAAAGAAACTGATACTTTATTTTTTACGCCAAGGTGGCACTTGGAGTGAAAGTTTCTGGCACCCAGTATAAATTGTCTGTGTTACACTTATGACAGAGTACTTGTATTAAGTAAGTAGTAAAGTTTCACGGCTGTGTCATTTGGTTTATAAGTGCAATTTTTACAAAGACCCTTGGAGATTGTCATGAGAGCTACAGTGTTTGTGCTTTGTGCAACACTCTTGGCAGGCAGCCAGTCATTCTACGGATAGAGACTGAGCCATGCAAGATAAATCCAAGTGCAATGAAGTAACCATCTTGACTTTAACCTTTAACCATTAATCTTTTAAGTAGAAATGGACCCTCCTCCCCCCATAGGTGTATCAGACCCGTAGTGCTGACCAGCGGAGGTGGCTACTTACACTCTCTGTGTTTCCTCATCAAAACCAACAAGTTTGGTCACTTCCCAAGATCCACGTGTCAGGTAATTGAGCTGGTGTGGGGAATTTTTCTTCAACACAAAATATAAAAAGTTATTAAAAACATGACATGTTATAGCCTATACACGGCAAGCTGGTTTGTTTCTCTTTCTATACAATTTTATTTACAAACAAGAATTTACTTAGCATATTAAAAGCATGTATCATCATCATACACTTTGCTGACCTGAAGGAGTCTACTTCTTCTTCTTCCTGTTCCTCCTTCTTCTTTTTCCTGTTCCTCCTTCTTCTTCTTCCTGTTCCTCCTTCTTCTTCTTCTTCTTCCTGTTCCTCCTTCTTCTTCTTCTTCCTGTTCCTCCTTCTTCTTCTTCTTCTTCCTGTTCCTCCTTCTTCTTCTTCCTGTTCCTCCTTCTTCTACTTCTTCGCATTCACCGGCTCTAAAGTACGGCAAAAAGTACTGGCTGTTGTCCATTTCTGGACTCGATTCCTGTTCCAGAACCTGAGTGTTGCATGCACATCCCTTTTACAGAGCAGACTCATTTGTATGCAGACTATTAGTTTCTTGCCACTCAGGCATATGCACTTCAACTAAGAAGGAAAAAAAAAACCGCTAATTAGTTGCCTTTTATATCATGCTTGTTGGGGTGTTGGGGTTATACCCCTTCTCTCCCCCCCCCCCCCCAAATGGGGCACCAGAACCCACACCTGAACCCGCATTGTGAGCATGTATCAGTTTGTCTGCTGATACTTGTCCATGCTATGACAAAAGACCATTAAGAATCTTTCTTCCTTGTTATTCCTCACCCCTGTTGTTGTATGTACCCATTTCTCTCTCCTCAGAATGCGGCCACAAAATTCTGATAAATTGTTTTCAGTTCCTTTTGATATAATGTTCCCCATCTTAGGCTTTTGCAAAAGATGTAGATAATTCATTGTTGCTGTCCAAGAAATTGTCAGCACTCATCTATAAGACCACATCTCTGAGGCCTCAAGGGATTTTGTTGTTGTTGTTGCTTGCTGACTCATTGTTCAGGATTCCCAGACATGTTAAAACTAGTTCTATGTAACACAATAATTCTTTTGCATACTGAAACCTCACATTTATTGCAATAAATGATCTTTAAAAAAAATGAAAATAAATAAAATGCAGTTTTTGCTTAGTCTATACTGTTCTTAATGTCTGGATAAAAAGCCTCCCTCCCCCTTTCCCAACACAACCAACCTAAGAGAGAGAGAGAGAAAAAGGAAAAGGAGGGGGGGGGGGGGGAAGAGAGAGAGAGACACACACAAACAGTTGGACAGTTTTGTGTCAAATAGACTCTTGATAAAACTGTACGCATGTGAGAAAAGTGTCTCTCATGTGTTTCAAAACAAATTGCTCTTACTTTTATGACCCTCAAAATATAAGCAGAATATACCTTTTTGGGTCAAGAACTATATTTTTTTTGGGAAGGGGGGGGGGGAGGGAGGGGGGGAGAACAGATCTGCTGCCCTGCTAGCAGAAATACTGTAAAGGGTGACTAATTAGCGGCCTTTCCTTCAAAGTCAGAGTGCATTGCATGAGAGGTGAGAAACCAACAGCCTGCACACAAATAGGACAATCTGCAAAACAGATGTGTATGCAAAACTCAAGTTCTGCAACAAGACTAGAAGTCCTGAAGTGGATGGGAGGGGAAAAAAACCATCAGAGCTTTCCGTGAGAGTTTGCAGCCGTTGAACATGACGAAACAGGTCCCATTTTTGTTAAACTTCTTGGCATGATTTGTAATTGGTCTACTTGAGTAAGTGATACCTCAGTTCTGAGTTAGGCACACACAAAAAAAGACCAGGGGGAATATTTATACCATATGGGTACAAAAGTCCACCATATGCTGGCAACCATGTTCTAAGCCAGGTTTAGATACTTAAAACTGCAAAGGTTTTGTTGCAAACGTGTTATTAATGATTCAAAAACATTAAGTCTGGCACTGTCTGTAGCTCAAAAGGTGAACTGTGCAGTAGATATGAGTTAGAGTTAGCTTACCCTGACTTCCACCATCACTACATGTTTGAAAGGATCTGATTCCTTTGAGGAGAGAATCCAGAAATAATGTGATCCATTGCTGCTGACAATTGGTGGTATAAACTGAAATGATAAACAACAATGTCTTACTTCAGGACAATTGGTGGTATAAACTGAAATGATAAACAACAATGTCTTACTTCAGGACAATTGGTGGTATAAACTGAAATGATAAACAACAATGTCTTACTTCATGAAACAGTGTTTCTGACATTATCTTGACCATAATTATCTTCTTTAGCCAACTGCCCATTAATAGTTGGCCATTTCTGGGTGACCAGATACTGACTCATCTGTGTGGTTATGCATAATTAAGCCTGTCACCCTGAGAATGCCGTTGTCCAGCATTTACAGGTTTTTGATGACATGAAGTCTTTGGCCACTACTCCTATGTAACAGGTTTAATACTGGTGGCAGCTGCATAATATTTAGACATTGTGGTTTGATTGTAGCAATTTATAAACATTGCTGATGTCATTGTATAGTCATAATAATCTCATTATGACATCACTTGTGGAAGACCCATGTTCAAATCATCAGTATAGTTTTTGAAACTTATTTTTTAATCTGTTGGCTGCAAAAATAAACTCCTGACCTGCACAGTCGTTGGCAACAGCACTAGCCAAGCAGCCCTAAATTCTCAAACACACCCCCTTTCCCCTTTCTTACAGGCAGTAGTTGCAGTTTGACAGTCTTTAAGTTAAACAAAGATCAACTTACAAGATCCAGCCAACCACTCTCTGCTTTGATTTCAATACTCTGCGAAAGGAAGAAAAAACAAGAGTTATTTATGCAATTGTCATGTACAATTAATCATTGACATAATAGTCTTGTAACTGTCTCTAGCATACTTCAATTATATAATCTCTTTTGTTACTGTCTCTAGCATACTTCAATTATATAATCTCTTTTGTTACTGTCTCCTCTAGCATACTTCAGTCATTGACATCTTTCTTTAATTAAACTGCCTCTAGTATTCTTTCATTAACATGTTTTGCAACTGTCTCTGGTATTATTCATTCACTGACACAATGTCTTGAAACTGTTATGAACATATATCAATCACTGATATAATCTTTCTCATGACAATCTATAGCAGATTTCAAAAACTGATATCATCTTTCCTGTAACTATCTCTACATACTTCACTCACTGAAATAATCTTTCTTTTAACTTCTCTAGCATATTTCAATCACTGCTATTGAGAACAATTATAATATTGTAGTAAAGCAGAAGAGAATACTGACAAAAATACTGACATTCTATACACTGTTTCCTCACCAATAAATGTTCATTAGTGTCCACCATCTAACCATAGTTGGCTAACTGCCACCCGCACAAACATGACTCATACAATGCCACCCACACATATTTGGCACACACTCTGCCATCCACACATACTTGCCATCCACATATATCTGAGACACAAAAAACACACACACACACTAATGTCTACATATATCTGACACACACACTGCCACACACTCACACGCACACGATATACCTTATTACACACGCCATTGCTCACTGAACAAATTGTGTGTATAGCAAAAGTCTGAGTTCGGTTCATCCAAGTGACCATGACCTCTTCGTCATTTCTCCAGACCACTGTTGTGAAATAATAATCCCTGAATGGAAATAGTCAAATGACCGGAATCAGTGAGTGGTTAAAAGTGGACGGTTAACGGTGGATAGTTAACAGAGGACAGTTAACAGTGAATGGTTAACAGTGGTCAGTTAACCACACATATATGTAATTGTGAAATGTTGATGCAAGAGTGAATATGAAGTGGACAAGTGGAGAGATGTGTACAGGAACATGAGGAGAACATGTAGAGAAGTGTGAACATAATATCAGTTACAGGAACATACAGAGAACATGTGGAAAAGTGTGAACATGAAATAAGTTACAGGAACATGAGGAGAACAGGCAGAAACATGTGAACATGAGATTAGTTACAGAAACATAAATAAAACATGCTGAGAAATGTGAACTTGAGATCAGTTACAGGAACATGAGGAGAACAGTCAGAAACATGTGAACATTAGATCTTTTACAGGAACATAAAGAGAACATGTTGAGAAATGTGAACATGAGATCAGTTTCAGAAACATAAATAAAACATGCTGAGAAATGTGAACATGAATGAGATCAGTTACAGGAAAATAAAGAAAACATGTTCAGAAATGTGAACATGAGACTAGTTAAAGGAACATGAGGAGAAAAGACCTAGAGATTTCAACATGAAGAAAATATTGATGTAGAAATATGATGAACAATACAATAGACCTAGAGATGTGGGAAATGAAGAAAAGAGATTTATAGATGTGAACATGAAGAAAAGAGGTTTAGAGATGTGAGCGTGAAGAAAGAGATGATGTAGAAATGTGATGAACAAGAGAATAGAACTAGAGATGGGAACAAGAAGAAAAGAGATTTGTAGATGTGAACATGAAGAAAAGAGATGTTGTAGAAATATGATGAACAAGAGAACAGATACAGAGATGTGAACATAAAGAAAAGAGATGATGTAGAAATGTGATGAACAAGAAAACAGATACAGAGATGTGAACATAAGGAAAAGAACATTTGATACATTCAAAAATCTGTTACAGGCATATACATTACCACCTGAATCATTAACCATTATAATCTCGGGATTCTACACACACTGCCAGCTATTTCAGTGGTTAAAACTCGACACCTTACTTACCAGTCAGTTATCTCAGAAGTTAAACATGATACACCTGTCAAGTATGAGTTACACTTTACACTGCACTGGCCAGTCAGCTACCTCAGGAGTTAAACTCTACATTCCACTCACCAGTCAGCTACCACAAGAGTTAAACATACTACTCACCAGTCAACTACCTCAAGAATTAAACTCTACATTCCACTCACCAGTCAACTACCACATGAGTTAAACTCTACACTCCACTCACCAGTCAGCTACCTCAAGAGTTAAACATACTACTACCCAGTCAGCTACCACAAGAGTTAAACATACTACTCACCAGTCAACTACCTCAAGAATTAAACTCTACATTCCACTCACCAGTCAACTACCACATGAGTTAAACTCTACACTCCACTCACCAGTCAGCTACCTCAAGAGTTAAACATACTACTACCCAGTCAGCTACCACAAGAGTTAAACATACTACTCACCAATCAGCTACCTCAGGAGTTAAAACTCTACACTCCACACACCAATCTCAAGAGTTTACATTTCACTCACCAGTCAGCTACATCAAGTGTAAAACTCTACATTTCACTCACCAGTCAGCTACCTCAAGAATTAAACTCTACATTTCACTCACCAGTCAGCTACATCAAGAGTTAAACTCTACATTTCACTCACCAGTCAGCCATCTCAGGAGGTGGAATCAGCTTTCTTTCCTCCCGTGTTGACAGTTTGACCACGTACAAGGTGAAGCTTGGGTTTGGATACCCAGCCTGTCAGAGAATAAACATTATATATAACAGGTCGTCTGAGTTAACAAACTGTAATGCGTTTATGCTGTGGCTGTTAAAGCATAAATATAGTAACCTGTGGATATGATGTTGTCATTGATACATATATCTATGTGCTTTAGGTTCCATTCGAAAGCTCATTTAATTTTACTTACCTTAAAGTACTGATTAGTAGTTTAAGAACAGACATCATAGCACACGAGGTATACCCATAAATGCTCCGTCTCCCGCAGTGAATGTCTTAAGGTGTAGATGCTAGCTAGCTGTTCCTATAGCAGACTGACAATAAACACATTGTTCTCTTCTTCTCATACACCTTTCCTTGCTGGATCCACACCTAATTCTACGCTCACACATTCTTACATCTAGTCTTCACCATTTATTCAAAAATTGTTGTCAGAATACCTCCTTTTTCTAGTATGTGTTGCTGCAGCTATAGCTTTTGTAGCTGAAAAATCCATTCTTTCATTTCCTCATATTCCTGGATATCCTGGACAGTATATCCACATATGACTCTTTGATTTTGATGCATTTTTTTAATCCACATGGGCCGCATTTGTCCATTTAATCCTTCTGTGGTACTGAATGAGAATCAGATGCTATAATTCCTCTGTTTTTTGCTATTCACTTCACAAGTGCAGTGAGTGCCTCCATCTACATCCTAATACTTGAAGGTATAGACAAAAAAAAAAGCACCATTCTATTACGATCTTTTCCTTCCCTCTAACTGAAAACTCCCTACCAGATCTGTCACCCCAATTACCAGAACCATTTGTGTACATTGCTGTAATTTCTAGCCCAGTGTTTTCATCTATCAATTGTGGCACCTCTAATTCTGCAATACCTGTACACCACTTTCTACACTATCTTCCTAATATGATCATGACTTGATGAAAACTGCTCAGGTGTGTGTTCTTTATGACCCATTCCTGCCCCCTGTGTATTTGCTTGACCAATGGTATCTTTAGCTGGCACCATCTTGACTTTCCTCTTTTTAACCGGACTCCTCTAAAATCATTCAGATTAGAGTCAAAAACAGCCATGAATGCTCTGCTTTGAATAAACAAAAAGAACTCATGACGGATTTAAGGTTAGCATGGCAATAATGTGGCTGAACTTGAATTCTGTACAGAAAGATGTACTTGACAATGAATTGGTGTTATTTTTAAAATTGTGAATCTGTCTGTATGTATTTGACTTACTTGTAAATCTTGTACATGTGTACAGAAATGACAGCGCACTCACTTTTGGATATGAAATTTCTTGGTCTTCAGTGTAGGGATTGTCCAGATCTCCATACCTGGGGAAGTGGAACTTGGGAACTCTAGTGTCATTGAAACTGGCATAGAGCAAGTAGGTCGACTGAGGGGACCACCAGATAGCGTTGTCTGCTCCTAGGATCTCCTCTGTTTTATGAAAGTACACAAAGTGACAGGCAATATAACATGCCAGTTTCTGCAAGCATATCCATACAGGCACATGCACTCTCACATGTATGTGCCCATACACACTGTAATTTACATTGACTCTTTGAGTCCCAGGGGGTTTAGCATCCCAGGCCCAAGGGGTAGTCAAAAGAGATGTAAAATCGGCGCATCATGCGTTCATTGGGCCTCTAGGTAGGAATCTATGAACGTATGATGCGTTCCTTGGGACTCAAAGAGTTAAATATTTGGAGACAAAAAGGATTACGTGCTGTCTCCAAATAAAGGTTTGTAACATTAGCATTCACATATTGTAAGCTCCAGCAGAAAAGCTGTGATTGTTTATCCACTTCTGGACTTTGGCACATCCATTTTACACAATGGGCTTATTTGTATGCAGAATGTTGGTTCCTTACTTTGCAGGCAGATGCACTCAGACTTTGAAAGAGGCACCCCTAATTAGTCACTTTTTATAACATGTTTGTTAAGGAAAAAGGGGGGAGGGTATATCAACAGTGGCCCTATTCTTTAAAATAAATGGGGCCCCAGAACCCCCATAGGGAATCACTTTGCCAGGGTCAGGCCTGGTCCAAAATGTCCATCTATGCTTGAACAGCAGAAATTCTGCCTCCCACATGGCCGTAGGAATAAAACACTGGAAAGGAAGTGGCATTCAATTCGGTAAGAGAGCTAATCTTCTGTTGCAAAAGTGCTGATATGCATATCATGATTCTTAAATGTTGCCACTTCTCTCACACTGTTTAATTGTTGCCTCCTCTTACACTACTTAAATGGTGCCACTCCTCTCACACTGCTTAAATGTTGCCTCTACTCTCACACCACTTAAATGTTGCCTCCTCTTACACTACTTAAATTGTGCCACTCCTCACACACTGCTTGAATGTTGCCACTTCTCTCACAAGCCCATTGTGAATCTTATTTCTTTCAAAAACACCTTCAGCCTTAATTGCTGGAATGTTGTGCCATCATGATCCGATGATTCTTCTCCTATCTTTAGATTATCATGGTTTTAGTTTTGGAGATACTGTACTGTTGCTGTAGCAACTTCCAACTGATATTTAAACTTCTGAGGTTACTTTCTTGACATTAAGATTTTTGTCAGCATAAATGATGCCCTGGACATGCTCAATGTTTTCATGTATATTGTGGTAGGCAACCGGCCACTAGCATGGCTTTTATAGAAACATTTGGGCCACTCAGAAACTTGAAATTTCTTCACTGTGCTATTGCCATTTGCTTTATTAATCAAACTTACTGTCTCTGCAGGTGACTTCTCAAGCAAAATACAAAATTTGACATTTGTGGTTGCTCAACCAAGGACATTTTTAGTTCCAATGATGCTATGTGCACAAGATTAAAAACAGTTCTGTAACTTCTGTTCAAGAATAAATATGAAGGTCGCGTGTGCCAGGTCATTGTGTCAAAGACACTATCAACTTATAAAACTATAATTTTCATGTTAAACATGAGCTGACTTTCTTAGGAACTTTTTGAAGCAACCTTGCAGATAGACAGATATTAAAGATCAGGGCTACTTTCTATCCTCATCAATGGTTTTGTTATTTAGACAAAATATCCCAGAAGGCCTGAACAAGGGATTAATGACATAATACAGAAACAATCAATAACAGGCATACAAACAAATCAATCAATAAGAGGGTATTACGCATATAAGTATAAACACAAATAAACAACAGTGTTGCTGGTATAAATACAAAATGAAAAAGTGAAACATGATTATTATGTAACTGATAGTAGTGACACAACACTGACCTTCATAAACCCAATCAGGGACCCCATTATAAATCAACTTTGGGGTGCCAGAAGTGGTTAGCTGGATCGGGCTAGCCTGGACATCTGGTTTGTAAAATATATTATGGTCCTTCACTACAACCTGTTGGAAAACCCAGACATAATTATGCATGTTATCACCATGTGCCATTAAAAGCACAAGTACTAATTCTATGCACAAATCAACCATTTGTTTTTCTTTTTAAAACAAGTTTAACTTGTTTTCTCCATTCTGTCACTTCAGCGAGCAAAATATAAAACATGACTATGTATAAAGAATATATGTACACACACACATGGCTACATATATACATAATACATTATACATACAAACATGGCTATTCATAAAAAATATATACAAACATGATTACATATGAAAAAGAACATATAAAAACATGGCTACATATACAAACACATACAACACATACAAATACAGCTACACATAAAGAATGTATACAAACATGGCTACATATAATGTATACATACAAATGTGGCTATGTGTAAGAATATATATATATATATATATATATATATATATATATATATATATATATATATATATATATATATATATATATATATATATATATATATATATATATATATATATATATATATATATATATATATATATATATATATATATATATATATACACACACAAACATAACACATTCAAACACAGCTACATATAAAGAATGTATACAAACATGGCTAATTATAATGAATACATACAAATGTGGCTAAGAATATATATATACATACAAACATGACAACATGTAAGAAAGATTATATATAAATGTGACATTACCAAAGAATGCCCAGTTGGTGACCAGGCCACGTACTCTAGTTCAATGTGTGGAGGGAAGCCCTGTAATGGCTCGGGGTTGTCTCTGAAGACAAAAGTAACACACAGTTAGTCCCGACAGAATGATTTCATTCCCGACTGATGAACAGTATGACAGAAAATAAACAAGATCATTAGGAAATAAAAGTGACAAGAAATGACAACATACAATGACAATGTATAAAGATAACATACAATGACAACATACAATGATAACATATAAAGACTGCATACAATAACAACATACAATGACAACGTATAAAGACTACATACAATGACAACACAAAGTCAGGTTTAGACTCCTTTATTAGTGATCTTTGAGCTGTCACTGAAGCATTATTGTGTAAACACATTTGTGCTCTATCTCCTGCAGCAAGGGTCCTATGATGAAGATACAGACTGTTCTAGTAATAAAACAATTGCACATACAGTGTACTCCTCCTCTTATACATCCTTTCTAGCTGTTTCAACTTAAAATTCTTGCAACCTTACACATGTTGTTTCATCTTACAACGCATCTTTCATCAGCATTCATTCATTCATTCATTCATTCATTCATTCATTCATTCATTCATTCATTCATTCATTCATTCATTCATTCATTCATGCATGGTTTTCATAATGTCTGCTTTGTCCAAAATGAGTTTTCCTATGGCTGTTGCTTTTTGTAGCCAAATGTCTGCTCTTTTACTACTTGAGAATCCTGTATGTCTGGGATAGTATAGTCATCCTATAATGCTTAAATGTTGAATTTTTATATCCACTCATGCCATATTTGTCCATTTGGAACCTTCCACAATATTGAATGAGACAGACACTAGGATTCCTGTGTTATTTATATCTTTGTTTTTCCTTTCCAAGTTATCCTTTTCTGAGCTACAGTGACTGCCTCCACCTCCATCCTCATACTTGAAGTTGTAGATAAAAAAAAGCACCATCTTGTTCTGCCTTGACCTTTTCCTTCAATCTAGCTGATAAACCCATAGCAGATATCATCAAGACCAAACAGTATCAAACATCCATAGCAGATATCATCAAGACCAAACAGTATCAATCATCACATTGATATTTGGACACTAAATTACTGGTTGTTGGTGATTGCTTCTTTTGTTATTTGACACTTGCTTCTTTTGTTATTTGACACTTGTTTTTTTTTTTATTTGACACTTGCTTCTTTTGTTATTTGACACTTGTTTCTTTTGTTATTTGACACTTGCTTCTTTCGTTATTTGACACTTGTTTCTTTTGTTATTTGACACTTGTTTCTTTTGTTATTTGACACTTGCTTTTTTTGTTATTTGACACTTGTTTCTTTTGTTATTTGACACTTGTTTCTTTTGTTAATTGACACTTGTTTCTTTTGTTATTTGACACTTGTTTCTTTTGTTATTTGACACTTGTTTCTTTTGTTATTTGACACTTGCTTCTTTTGTTATTTGACACTTGCTTCTTTTGTTATTTGACACTTGTTTCTTTTGTTATTTGACACTTGTTTCTTTTGTTATTTGACACTTGTTTCTTTTGTTATTTGACACTTGCTTCTTTTGTTATTTGACACTTGTTTCTTTTGTTATTTGACACTTGCTTCTTTCGTTATTTGACACTTGCTTCTTTCGTTATTTGACACTTGCTTCTTTCGTTATTTGACACTTGCTTCTTTCGTTATTTGACACTTGCTTCTTTCGTTATTTGACACTTGCTTCTTTTGTTATTTGACACTTGCTTCTTTTGTTATTTGACACTTGCTTCTTTTGTTATTTGACACTTGTTTCTTTTGTTATTTGACACTTGTTTCTTTTGTTATTTGACACTTGTTTCTTTTGTTATTTGACACTTGTTTCTTTTGTTATTTGACACTTGTTTCTTTTGTTATTTGACACTTGTTTCTTTTGTTATTTGACATTTGCTTCTTTTGTTATTTGACACTTGTTTCTTTTGTTATTTGACACTTGCTTCTTTCGTTATTTGACACTCTGTGTGTTTTTCTTAAATAGGGTGGGGAGGGGATGGGAGCGTCAGAGTGGTGAGAGGTCTTGTCATATACTCAAAAGGAGAGCTCCACCTGAAAAAGGTTGGGGACCACTGTTCTTGACTGTTCCATCGTGCTATAGTGAGACGTGGGAATCAAAGCCCATTGTGATACTAGTTAAGGCTAGGGATGAAATTCCTCCTTTCCAAAGAACAAAGCCTGGGCAGTATTGTAGAGAACATGTATTGCCCATGCAGCCTGATCCCTCAATTGGCCTGCTTTGTTATCTCCAAAGGAAAGGTAACAACAAAATGTTTGGACCTTTTAAAAGAAATTATTCCTACGTTCAAGACTGCATATAACCAAACATTATGTTCCTCTCTACATGTTCTCACCTGGTATGAAGATTGTAAACAGCATACTCGGCCTTGGTTGTATGTCTGTACAGCTGAACATAGAGAACACCAAACACATTGTTACTTTCTACAAGGACAGAGAATTTCACATATTATATTTGTTGCTATTTAGAGATTATCCCGTACAATGTTACTTCCTACACAGAGAATACCAGATGCAATGTTAGCCCTTATATAGAATGTTATTTATCTTATGGGCAGAGAGTACCAATCAATGACAGTTAAAAGATGGCTGCCTCACTTTTTACATGCACCAAAGAGGAGCAGGGTTCTGTTATCTGTTCTGTTTAAATTGCATACAAGCATGAAAGCACTGTCTACTAATACAGACAATTTCAAGCACTCGCAACAATAACAACAAGAGTATTGGCTACTTCTACAAAGAATAAAAATTCATACAAATAAATTATCTCCTCCAACAGACAAATCTATACAAACATATTATCCTGCATGACATGGAAGTAAACCATGGCGAAGCAAGTCTATGTCACCTTCAAGGCCAAGACAGGAGACATTATTATTAAACTCTCATGGGAACAATCAACAGAGGTACCCTGAAGCGGCTGCTTCATGGAAGGACTGAGCACACATGGGAATGCCCAATGTGAAGTGGTGCTGATTGTGATAACATAACAAACTCCTACCTACAATTATAGATTCATACAAACATACTGCCTACTCCTGCAAACACAGACTTATACTAAGATAATTAACTACCACAAACAAAGTACCGGTGTGACTCTCTGTTTCAGAAGCAAATACTGCCCATCAGCAGACATCATGAATTCCTTTGGATGATGCTGAGTCTGTGAGAAAAACATTTGAAATATTGGTGTGAGACAGACATTGAAAATGAGAGTGTGAGACAAATACTGAAATTGTTGCTGTGAGATAAACATTAGAAATGTTCATGTTAGATAAAGACTGATAATGTTTATGTGAGAGAAACATATAAAATCTGTATATGAGATAAAGATTGGCTGTGTGATAAACATTGGAAAATTGATGTGAGATAAACACCGCAAATATGGATGTGAGATAAACTCTGGAAATTGATGTGAGATAAGCACTGGAAATGTGACTGTGAGATAAACATCAGAAACGTGGTTGTGAGATAAACATTATAAATATATTAAAGTGAGACAAACAATGGAGACTTCTTAAGTAAAAAGGAGACTTTTCTGAGAGATAATCACTGAATCACTCCATTGTTCTCTCAGTTATACATCTGGCATGTCTGTGTAAGATAAGCTCATGCTGATATGTTTCTGTGAGATAAAATATTTGTTGTCTTGTTTAGGATAAAAAATCTGATCTGTTTAATTAAAATAAAATGTTTGAATGCTCAAATATATTTTATGGTGATTCAGAAAGATATTTTTTGCTGAGATACAATATTTGATGCTTGGCCAGTATAAAATATGTGTTTAGTTGGGATATACTACCTGATGTTTCTTTTAGAAAAGAGATTTGATATTCAAGTAGCTAAAACATGCGATACATGTCACTGAGATCAAACCAATGTTTTTTGTTGTTTTGTGTGTGTGTGTGGTTTAAAGTAGACACAAGAGAGGCAGTGTAGTGATATAAGCAGGTGACCAGCAACAGACTAACCTGATAACGATAGAGTTTCTGTGAAATAAATATTTGATATGTTTTAGTGAGGTTGGTGTGTGTGTGCATACATGTATGTGCATGGTACATGTGTGTGTGTGTGTGTGTGTGTGTGTGTGTGGGGGGGGGGGTGGGGGATAGGGTGTGTGTTTGTGTGCATGTATGTGTGTGGGGGGTGTGGGGGGTGTGGGTGGGTTTCTATGAGATAAAATATTTGATTTTGTTTCTACTGAGCAAAACTGTTTGATGATTTTGTGAGATGAAATATCTGGTGTTTCTGGTAGATAAAATATTTGCTGCTTCTGTGAGATACAATGTTTGATGTTTCTGTGAGATCAAATATCTGCCATTTCTTTGGAATAAAATACTGATGTTTTTCTGTGAACTAAAATATTGATGTTTTTTTTCAGGTGAATTTAATCTGTTAGATTAGCTATCTAATTCCCTTTTGGTATTGCTTCTCTTGGATTCTCACTTGGTTCTGTAGCTCTCAGATTCCAAACTTGGACTCTTTCAATGTTTCTGTGGCACTGTTTCCCACTTGGTTCTGTAACTCTGATTCTCATTTAGATGCTTTCATTAGTTCTGTAGTGCTGATTCTGACTTGTTTCTGTAACTCTGATTCCCACTTGGTTCTGTAGTGTAGCTCTGATTCTCATTTAAGACTCATTGGTTCTCTAGTTCTGATTCCCACTTGGTTCTGTAGTGTAGCTCTGATTCTCATTTAAGACTCATTGGTTCTCTAGTTCTGATTCTGACTTGGTTCTGTAGTTCTGATTCCCACTTAGACCCTTTCATTGGTTCCTTAGCTCTGATTCCCATTTAAGACTCTTTCATTGGTTCTGTAGCTCTGATTCACATTTAAGACTCTTTCATTGGTTCTGTAGCTCTGATTCCCATTTTAGACTCTTTCATTGGTTCTGTAGCTCTGATTGCCACTTGGTTCTGTAGCTCTGATTCCCATTTAAGACTCTTTCATTGGTTCTGTAGCTCTGATTCCCACATGGTTCTGTAGCTCTGATTCCCATTTAAGACTCTTTCATTGGTTCTGTAGCTCTGATTGCCACTTGGTTCTGTAGCTCTGATTCCCATTTAAGACTCTTTCATTGGTTCTGTAGCTCTGATTGCCACTTGGTTCTGTAGCTCTGATTGCCATTTAAGACTCTTTCATTGGTTCTGTAGCTCTGATTCCCACATGGTTCTGTAGCTCTGATTCCCATTTAAGACTCTTTCATTGGTTCTGTAGTTCTGATTCCCACATGGTTTTGTAGCTCTGATTCCCATTTAAGACTCTTTCATTGGTTCTGTAGCTCTGATTCCCATTTTAGACTCTTTCATTGGTTCTGTAGCTCTGATTGCCACTTGGTTCTGTAGCTCTGATTGCCACATGGTTCTGTAGCTCTGATTTCCACATGGTTCTGTAGCTCTGATTGCCACTTGGTTCTCTGGTCTGGTTCCCACTTAGACTATTTCACTGGTTCTGTAGCTCTGATTCACACTTTGATTTGTAGTTCTGATTCTCATTTGTTTCTATAGCTTTCACAATTCCACTTGGTTCTTTTGCTCTCAGATATCCAGTTGGTTATACTGTTCTTAACTACTTAATTTTATAGCAGTCAGATTCCAACTGGTTCTAATCTCTCAGATTGCTACTTGGTTCTGTTACTCTGATTATCATTCGAATAATCTAAAGTTCTCTGATTTTTACTTGGGTCTGAAAATCTCCAGTTCCTGCTCAGTCATATAGCTCTGATTCACTTGGTTCTGAAGCTCTACAGTTACTAGTTCTTTCTGTAGCTATACGGCTGCCACTTGGATCTTACTCATTCTTATAAATCTCTTGGTTTTCATCATAATTATTGTTTTTACTAGACTGAGGTAGTCATCTACATTCTTTAACAAATAATACAGTCTTTGTTGTTCGGCATTAAGGAAAATTCTGGCACTGCAGTGAAGACTCTTTATGTTCCCTTTGATTTTCATTTGTCAGATTTAAAAGATAAACTTACAGATGTACTGCTTTCCAAGATGGCAAAAAATAAAACCATTTCTTCTTCTTCTTCGCGTTCACCAGCTGTACACTCTGGCGGAAAGTTCTGGTTGCTCGTCCCCTACTGAACTGCAGTCCTGCTCCAGAACCTGAGTGTTGCATGTGTATCAGTTTTCCTGATTTCATTCTCTTGAATACAGACTGTTGGTTCCTTGCCTCTCCGGCAGATGCACTCCAACTTTAAAGGAAGCTCCCCAATTAGTCAACTCTTACGACACGCTTTGGGGAGGCAGTGGGTCTATTCTTGTTTTCCCTACAATCGGGCCCCGGAACCCACACGGGGGAATAAAACCATGATGGTAAAAGATAAAAATTGTGATGGTAAAAGATAAAACTGAGGTAAAGTATAAAACCATGTTGATAAACGAAATAGATCATGAGTCAAAGATAAAAACCATGATGATGAAGGATTACCTTATTATAAAGGATTACACCTAGATTGTAACAGATTAAACCATGATGGTAAAAGATAAAACCATGATAATAAAGGATTAAGCCGTGATTGTAATGGATTACACCTAGATTGTAAAGGATTAAACCATGATAGTAAAAGATAAAAGTCGGCTCTGTGGCTAAGTCGATGCGAATGCTTCATAATGCCGGGATGCTGGGTTCCATCCCAGCTACGGGCCATGCGCATTGCGTTGGTTTCAAGAGTGGTATCAAGACAGCCAACTGTCCAGAAAGCAATGACAAACTACTTGCTGTAAATTTGCCTGGAAAAACCATACAACAGCAAGGAGCTGTTGGAGTTGGTTCTGCAATGTCCTGTAAAGGATACGCAACTAACCAACCAACCAACAGGCTGGCTGGCCAGCTGCGAATTGACGGATTTGTTGACTTTTCAGTTGGCTGACTGATTTATTATCTAACCTAACCTAAAAGATAAACAAATGGTTAAGAATGCTGAGCTTTCATGTGGGAGTCAGTAAGGTCAATAATTTTTTTTGTCAGAAACAAAAATAAAATCCTGACCTGCACAGTCCATGGCAACAGCACAAGCAATGCTGCCCTAAATCCTCAGGCTCAAATACTCTCTATCCCCCACCCTTGCCTACATCACAAAAATGGTAAATACATGCAGTAATTGATAGTTTGGCAGTTGAAAGATAAAACGATGAAGATGAGTGATGAAACCATAATGGTAAAAGAAAAAACCATGAGGGTAAAAGATTAACTTACAATGGTATTGTTATCCATGATCACAAAAGATGAGTTTGTAGAACAGTTGAATATTTTCAAACCCATACTGGCCGTATGGAACATGAACTGATTGGCACCTGGCATAGAAAACACAAACCATTTTTTAAATGTGTATGCCTTACTTTAAAATGTGTTGCTTTTGATTTTCAAAGGCAGCCATTAGAACCCACTGGAACACTTACCATCCAGAATACAATCTCAAAGACCTAAACAACCTTCTCACACAATAGCAACTGACTAGTAATATGTAGATTGTGAACTGGACACTGCAACACAATCCGCAGCTATTGTACAGATAATTGAAGATTGGGGACTCAGAACTTTTCCCATGTGTTTGGGCACCCCAAGAATACTGAAGGTGTGTTGCAGACCTGCTCTCTACATCCATCAGAAAGATCCCAGGTCTGGCCAGTTGGCATTACAGTGGAAACCACGCTGTATAATGAGTGAAGAAAATGTCTCACACCAAAACCTTAATGGAGACCTGTGGTCTTTAAAAATTTATTGCAGTGAAAATGAAATTACGATTATTTCCTGAGTTTTTCATCCTTGTTCTAGGAGGCTAAACAGCTAATTCCCTACCTCAAGATTATGAAAGGGGTAAGTAAATCATCTATTTATTTGATAAAAACCATCAATGTGAACTGAATCAGGTCTGCTAGATTTAGAAGGGAATGTTCTAGCCCCTAGCCATTCCACTCTTTTGACAGTATAAATGATGGGACTCAGACAAACAGAATCAACCATGGACATCAAGTTAACACAACTTACACCATCAACAATGAAACCAAGAAAAAAGCACTATTAAATAATAGATCTGTATCAGTTAAAATCACAACAGAAGAGTTAACAGCAGACCCACACAACAGTAGAAACACCTGGCTGCACACGACAGTAAAGTTAACTGTGGACCCATTCTGATTAGATGAAAGAGATGACAAAAAAAAAAAAACTAGATTTGCCTGCATTTTCATCAGATAATTTAGGACAATATATTAGAATGTGTTTTCATTTCTAGATCTTTTCTTTCAAAGAAAACTGGCAACTATGGGTCTCTGTTGCTCTTCTCAACAGCCAAAGAAGAGTCCCCATACTGATAGTGACATTTGCAGCCTGACTGAAAGTTTGCCAGTTTTTTTCTCATGTGGGCAGAAAGTCACTCAAACCCTCGTTCACTCCCAGCAGAATCATTCTCGCCAGATATGGATTCCCTATCTGTTCTGCTGCACTGTTTACTTAATCCCAGAGAGACTACACCCCATCCACTTTATTATAATGTAGCTCACCGCCCAGAGGAGCTGCAGCAGCCAGTGTATAAACCTGCTCATTACCACGCATGTCCTAGGCAACCATTCCATGATATGCTTGTGATCTGAATCTTATAATGTGATGCAAATCACTCAGAGCTCAAAACACCAGTTACATTTTCTGACGCATGCTCTTTGAGTCTGTTGCAATCACATCACATGTTAGGCTGTACTACTTACTAGCAATCGGAAATCCGCCATTACTGCTTCTGCCTCCATAAAAATGAGGGAGAAGCAGCAGAAGACATGGTAGAAAGAAAGAATATAAATGAGTATTGAAAACTCAAAGTGTGAGTTCTGGGGCTCCATTGTGCAAAAACAAGAAGAGACCCATCGTTCCCCTCCCAACAAGCATGTTGTAAGAGTCAACTTACTGGGGTTTTCCTTTGAAGACAGAGTGCATCTGCCTGGGAGGCAAGAAACCAACAAACTGCATTTAAAAAAAAAAAGTCAGATCTGTAAAAAAGGTTCTGAAACAAGGCTAAAGTCGAGACGTGAATAAACAGCCAGAACTTTCTGCTGGAGTTTACAGTTGGTGAACATGAAGACGAAGAAGTATAGAAAACAAACAAATAAGTTAAAACAATCCACAAAATAACTAACCTGGTATCCATTGTGGCGAGAAGGAAGCAGGCCGGAGCTCTCCTTTAATATAATCATCAAATGTAAACTTCTCTCCTAAATTTTCTAGATCTTCTCCTGCAAGCAAATAACAGATAATGGAGGTTATGGCTATTCTAGATATTTCACAGGAAAATGTTCTTCTAAACTAAACACGTAAAGGACAATTTTTACCCCAGTGGCGCATCTGGCATATTGCTGGCACTACGTAAAATTCACTTAAGTGCAATTATGGAAATTTTTACCCAAGTGCATTTTCATGGTTGTTATTTGTCACTTTACAAACAGGCCTAAAGGACATTTGTGAATTCATACTCCAAACAGTACTGAATAAAGTATTACTTTTCATGCAACCACACCATTGAGAAAGAGAGAGAGAGAGAGAGAGAGAGAGAGAGAGAGAGAGAGAGAGAGAGAGAGAGAGAGAGAGAGAGAGAGAGAGAGAGAGAGAGATCTATGTCCCAAAGTGATCTTCACTTAGATGACAATGTGATATCCCTCAAGTGACTTTGATGTGCTGCCAACAATTATAATGCCAGCCTCGTATTTGTACAGACCAAGCATCACTTTGTGGGTGATGTGGTCAAAACATGCCAGCCACCTTTACTTCCCAGGGCAATATCTGGTACCCATTTTAGGCCGCACTGACCTGAATTTTTTTTATAGTGGTGTGAAAATTCTTTAAGCATACCTTTTTGCTTTCATTCTGACAGATCTTTTTATTAGATATGTAACTCTTAGCGGAGGCTGGCAGATCCGTCAGATTATTTATTACCTTTAACAATGGCTACCGGATTCATCTCAGGTCCTTTTCTTCTAACAAATCTACACAATTCAACATAGACTAACAGACCTATCAGCATTTTTTTACTTTTAACTTCCTTTTCTTCTTTTTTTTTTTTTTGCGTTCAACCTTAAAAGGGCACCTGGTACACTGAATTACGGCTTACAGCTAGGCTGTGATATCTTTTCCTTTCAGCCAGAAACACTTTTCAGCAAAACCTTCACTAGTCACCGTTTATGACATACTCATTATTGGGGGAGGGGGTCTACCCTCCGCCTTGTCTCCCCCACACCCCAAATGGGGCCCTGGAACCCGTAGAGGCAACTTTTAACTGAATTTATTCAATACCAAACAGCTGTTACTCCAACCATTTCAAAATCTTAGTTTATGCATTTTAGAGTGTTAATCTTCATATCGTAGTGAACTAAAGTGGTAGAAATACAATGGTACCTCAGAATTCAAACTCCTCAAAACTCAAACAACCAGAACGATATTTGCAAGTAAATTCTGCCTCAGAATTCAAAAGCTGCTTTGAAAACCTAACACCTGGCACATGCCGATCACACGACTAAGCTGACAACACAAGAGCTTCAGCACCTTCACTAGCAGCAGAAGAAAAGAATGGTCACTAGGTCCATTTGCTTGCAAATTACTGACCCCAGACCTTCTATAAGTGGTGGACAACTATGTCACCACTTTGATCAAGGTACAGTAAATGCAATGTTTTTAAATTAAAAAAAAAAAAAAAACATGTGACCAACATGTGTTACAGTCTACTGAATTTAGGAAAATACATTTTAAACTTTGAGTTTGCTGATCCCTGGAACAGATTAATTTAGTTTTCATTATTTTCAATGGGAAAAATTTTCTTGGAACTCAAACTATTTGGAATTATCAGGAATCTGACAGATTATGTTCACATTCCAACGTAGCACAGAATATTTGAAATAGCCGCTGTGATAGGAAGGATCAGCAGGATGGGACAGGAGAAGTCAGTTAATGTATGCCATGTATGGAATAATCAATAAACGTAAGGTTAAAATTGAGGAGATTGACTTCATTTCATCAAGTTTTATTCCCGGATGGCTGGGTGTCTCTTCTTGGAATGGCTGGCCGCCTGAGAAAAGTGCTACACAAAGCATGAACACTGTGCCTCCTGTGATGACCCCTTAAACATGGTGACCTGCCTGGTACTTGAAGATTTAAGACTGACGGTCTATCAAATCTGTCTTAAATGTAACCAAATCTAAAAGATTAATGACCTTATAAAAACTGGTATCCCTAATGTCCTCTACCTCCAACATATATTGAAAGATCCAACAAAGTAGCTTAAATATGCGGTATATACATCACTGGCGTAATGCTGACCACATTACTCACCGAGTGCTGATGGTCTGTAAAAATATGGGCGCTCTTCCCATATGCCAGGTACGCCTAAAAGCGTGGAAAGGCTTATTTACTTTTTTAAAAAACTTTTGGTTTTTTTTTTTTTTTCACTGACAAAAGGAAGCAAGTGTAGTGATTTAAACAGGTGACCAACAAAGGACTAACCTGACTGAGTTTCTGTGAAATAAATATTTTATATATTTCCATAAGACAAAAAAAAAAGCAGATCATGTATACGACCATGAAGCAGATCATGTATATGACCATGAAGCAGACTATGTATATGACCATGAAGCAGATCATGTATATAACCATGAAGCAGATCATGTATATAACCATGAAGCAGATCATGTATATGACCATGAAGCAGACTATGTATATGACCATGAAGCAGATCATGTATATGACCATGAAGCAGATCATGTATATGACCATGAAGCAGACTATGTATATAACCATGAAGTAGATCATGTATATAACCATGAAGCAGACTATGTATATGACCATGAAGCAGATCATGTATATGACCATGAAGCAGACTATGTATATGACCATGAAGCAGATCATGTATATGACCATGAAGCAGACTATGTATATGACCATGAAACAGATCATGTATATGACCATGAAGCAGACTATGTATATGACCATGAAGCAGACTATGTATATAACCATGAAGCAGATCATGTATATGACCATGAAGTAGACTATGTATATAACCATGAAGCAGATCATGTATATGACCATGAAGCAGATCATGTATATAACCATGAAGCAGATCATGTATATGACCATGAAGCAGACTATGTATATGACCATGAAGCAGATCATGTATATGACCATGAAGCAGACTATGTATATGACCATGAAGCAGACTATGTATATGACCATGAAGCAGATCATGTATATAACCATGAAGCAGATCATGTATATGACCATGAAGCAGACTATGTATATGACCATGAAGCAGACTATGTATATGACCATGAAGCAGATCATGTATATGACCATGAAGCAGATCATGTATATGACCATGAAGCAGACTATGTATATGACCATGAAGCAGACTATGTATATGACCATGAAGCAGACTATGTATATGACCATGAAGCAGATCATGTATATAACCATGAAGCAGACTATGTATATGACCATGAAGCAGATCATGTATATGACCATGAAGCAGATCATGTATATAACCATGAAGCAGATCATGTATATAACCATGAAGCAGATCATGTATATGACCATGAAGCAGATCATGTATATAACCATGAAGCAGATCATGTATATAACCATGAAGCAGATCATGTATATGACCATGAAGCAGACTATGTATATGACCATGAAGCAGATCATGTATATGCCCATGAAGTAGACTATGTATATGACCATGAAGCAGATCATGTATATGACCATGAAGCAGATCATGTATATGACCATGAAGCAGACTATGTATATGACCATGAAGTAGATCATGTATATGCCCATGAAGTAGACTATGTATATAACCATGAAGCAGACTATGTATATGACCATGAAGCTGATCATGTATATGCCCATGAAGTAGACAATGTTTATGACCATGAAGCAGATCATGTATATGCCCATGAAGTAGACTATGTATATAACCATGAAGTAGATCATGTATATGCCCATGAAGTAGACTATGTATATAACCATGAAGTAGATCATGTATATGCCCATGAAGTAGACTATGTATATAACCATGAAGTAGATCATGTATATGCCCATGAAGTAGACTATGTATATAACCATGAAGTAGATCATGTATATGCCCATGAAGTAGACTATGTATATAACCATGAAGTAGATCATGTATATGCCCATGAAGTAGACTATGTATATAACCATGAAGTAGATCATGTATATGCCCATGAAGTAGACTATGTATATAACCATGAAGCAGACTATGTATATGACCATGAAGCAGATCATGTATATGCCCATGAAGTAGACTATGTATATGACCATGAAGCAGATCATGTATATGCCCATGAAGTAGACTATGTATATGACCATGAAGTAGATCATGTATATGCCCATGAAGTAGACTATGTATATAACCATGAAGCAGACTATGTATATGACCATGAAGCAGATCATGTATATGCCCATGAAGTAGACTATGTATATGACCATGAAGCAGATCATGTATATGACCATGAATCAGATCATGTATATGACCATGAAGCAGATCATGTATATGACCATGAATCAGATCATGTATATGACCATGAATCAGATCATGTATATGCCCATGAAGTAGACTATGTATATGACCATGAAGCAGATCATGTATATGACCATGAAGCAGATCATGTATATGACCATGAATCAGATCATGTATATGCCCATGAAGTAGACTATGTATATGACCATGAAGCAGATCATGTATATGACCATGAAGCAGATCATGTATATGACCATGAAGCAGACTATGTATATGACCATGAAGTAGATCATGTATATGCCCATGAAGTAGACTATGTATATAACCATGAAGCAGACTATGTATATGACCATGAAGCAGATCATGTATATGCCCATGAAGTAGACTATGTATATGACCATGAAGCAGATCATGTATATGACCATGAATCAGATCATGTATATGACCATGAAGCAGATCATGTATATGACCATGAATCAGATCATGTATATGACCATGAATCAGATCATGTATATGCCCATGAAGTAGACTATGTATATGACCATGAAGCAGATCATGTATATGACCATGAAGCAGATCATGTATATGACCATGAATCAGATCATGTATATGCCCATGAAGTAGACTATGTATATGACCATGAAGCAGATCATGTATATGACCATGAAGCAGATCATGTATATGACCATGAAGCAGACTATGTATATGACCATGAAGTAGATCATGTATATGCCCATGAAGTAGACTATATATATAACCATGAAGCAGACTATGTATATGACCATGAAGCAGATCATGTATATAACCATGAAACATGGTTATGTATATAACCATGAAGCAGACTATGTATATAACCATGAAGCAGACTATGTATATAACCATGAAGAAGACTATGTATATAACCATGAAGCAGACTATGTATATAACCATGAATCAGACTATGTATATAACCATGAAGCAGACTATGTATATAACCATGAAGCAGACTATGTATATAACCATGAAGCAGACTATGTATATAACCATGAAGCAGACTATGTATATGAACAGACTATGAATAACCAGACTATGTATATATAACCATGAAGCAGACTATGTATATAACCATGAAGCAGACTATGTATATAACCATGAAGCAGACTATGTATATAACCATGAAGCAGACTATGTATATAACCATGAAGCAGACTATGTATATGACCATGAAGCAGACTATGTATATGACCATGAAGCAGACTATGTATATAACCATGAAGCAGATTATGTATATAACCATGAAGCAGACTATGTATATGACCATGAAGCAGACTATGTATATAACCATGAAGCAGACTATGTATATGACCATGAAGCAGACTATGTATATAACCATGAAGCAGACTATGTATATGACCATGAAGCAGACTATGTATATGACCATAAAGCAGACTATGTATATGACCATGAAGCAGACTATGTATATAACCATGAAGCAGACTATGTATATAACCATGAAACAGATTATGTATATGACCATGAAGCAGACTATGTATATGACCATGAAGCAGACTATGTATAGACCATGAAGCAGACTGTGTATAGACCATGAAGCAGACTATGTATATAACCATGAAGCAGATTATGTATATAACCATGAAACAGATTATGTATATGACCATGAAGCAAATTATGTATATGACCATGAAGCAGACTATGTATATGACTGGGAAGCAGATCATGTATGTAACTGAAGTAGACCATGTATGTAATTGAAGCAGAGGATAAAGCAGACAATGTATATATGCCTGTAAAATAGACCATGTATGTGATTGTGAAGCAGACAATATATGTGACTGTGAAGGGCAATGTGACGGTGAAGTAGACCATGTTTGTGACTGTGTATGCGATTTTGAAGTAGACCATGAATGTGACTGTGAAGTAAACATGGTATATGACTGTGAAGCAGACCATGTATATGACTGTGAAGCAGACCATGTATGTGACTGTGAAGTAGACCATGTGTGTGACTGTGAAGTAGTCTGTGTATGTGACTGTGAAGTAGATCGTGTATATGACTATTAAGCAGACCATTACATCCTTGTGAAGTAGACCATGTGTGTGACTGTGAAGTAGACCGTGAATGTGACTATGAAGTAGATCGTGTATGTGACTGTTAAGCAGACCATTACATCACTGTGAAGTAGATCATGTATGTGACTGTGAAGTAGACCGTGTATGTGACTGTGAAGTAGATCATGTATGTGACTGTTAAGCAGACCACTACATCAAGGTGAAGTAGACCATGTGTGTGACTGTGAAGTAGACCATGTATGTGACTGTTAAGCAGACCACTACATCAAGGTGAAGTAGACCATGTGTGTGACTGTGAAGTAGACCATGTATGTGACTGTGAAGTAGACCGTGTATGTGACTGTGAAGTAGACCATGTATGTGACTGTGAAGTAGATCATGTATGTGACTGTGAAGTAGATCATGTATGTGACTGTTAGGCAGACTATTACATTACTGTGAAGTAGACCGTGTATGTGACTGTGAAGTAGACCATACATGTAACTGTGAATCAGACCGTGTGATGATCAGTACTGAAAACTTCCCAGCTGCTCACCATGTGATAACAGCAGACCAGACACAGAGAGGAGTTTTGGGGAGGGCCGCCAATACAAGAAGAAGTGGAAGATGCTATAAACCACATGAAGAAATGTAAATCTCCAAGGCCAGATAACATCACGATTAAAAAATTGAATGTTGAATTAAGAATCAACCTCACAGCATTCGAGACCCCTCCCCATAAGTGCTCCATCCCCATCTTCAGCAGCAAGTAAAGAGTTAAAATTCCGATGTTACCAGTGACTGTCTGATTGTATTTCTGTCTCGCCTTTCCCCTGAGTGTGGAGCGTCGGCCAGATCCCCTTTTAACTCCTCGAAGTGCCGTTCTCCTCTGACCGTATTTATCTATCTGTGCCTCGGCACTGTTTCGCTCCCAAAGGGCCCTCCCAGCATCCAGCTTGTCATACATCAGTTCACCACCAAGTGGTGCAGAACCGGCCAGTCATCTGCCTGCTCATTTCCCAACACACCAGCATCACCGGGAGACCATATCCAAAGGATGCTAATTACTCAGAACCTTTAAAGTGATGCTCGCAACTCTGCATGGAGCATGCTCTGTGAGTCTTTCTTAACAAGCTCTGTGAGTCAGTTACAATGATGGTATGTGTGTACAGATGATTCTCAAGCCAACAGAGGGCAGCAGTGACTGTCTCCACCTCTACTCTCAAACTAGATGTTTTGATATCATATGCCAGGCTTTGTTGCACCAAGCGACGTCCATTCGCTTTCACTATAAACCCCTATGCACTGTGTCTGCCCCTCAACACAGAGCCATCTGCATAGACAATCACATCACATGGGCGGGAATTTTCATGAATCATTTGTTGAACTTCTGAATCTGCAGCACCAGCTGGCCCAGTCCCCGCACTCAGGTCCCAAAGTGATTAAAACCCTACACAAGTCTGAAACCTGATCGGACACCGACCCACTTCTCTCCTCATCTAAATTTATCAAGAATGCACACATGTCAAATTGTGTCTTCAGCTTTTGCCATCCAAGACTTTCCTCCTTTCAGTCTGTGACCCTTAGCTCTACCCAGGACTTAATGCAGGGGGTGCTTTTTGTCTGCAGCTACACTAAGATATGACTTTGCTTGCAGAACTTTGAGAATTACTCGCATGGCTTCATTCTGTATGCGCTCAAGTTTGATCAGCTGACTCTTTGAAACGGTAAGAATGCTAAGTCCATAACCTATCCCCGATTTCCTCAATGATATGAAGAATTAAAAGCTGCTAGTGAACTGGGTTTAGAGGTTTTGACAAAAGTGTTCAATGATATTTATAACAGTAGACACGTACCTGAGGACCTTTTGAAATCTCACATCAGAAAGAGTCAATCTACATTCTACATTCTTTGGTCATGTGATGAGATGGAGAAAACTGGAGTACACTGTGAAAGTAGGAAAACTGGAGGGGGAGGAGAGGCAGAGGGAGACCAAGAGAAAAAGATGCTGGACAGTCTGACATCATGGCATGGAGGATTATCAGTATTACAGTTGACTGAAAGTAAACGAGACAGAAGGCTGTGGACAGACATGACTACCAACACCACATGGCATGGACTTTAAGAAGAAGTAG